GTTACTAGTAGTGATGCACTTATTACTAGTAGCTTCTTGTTACTAGTAGTAACGCACTTGTTACTAGTAGTAATGCACTAGCTACTAGAGAGTTGAGAGACATGGGGACGACGTATAACTTGTTTTTCGGGGGAGGCATGTCCAATTTCTGAGGTACTTTGGAGGGTCAAAGTGATTGTCCACCTGCTTTCAACATGCAAATGCATGCAAGGTCGTTTCGGTTGTTAATTCCAAACATGTTGGCCACACACGGAAACTGGGCGCACCGGTACTTTGACAACACGGACACTGGGATCAACTGGGAACGCAAGCAGGCCGTGGGAAGGGTTTTTGATGGCCCGGACCCTTGCGAAAAGGCCCGGCCCCTGCCATGGAGGGCCCGTTTCCTGAAAGTCTCCCCCCCCATTTCACACCTTCACGTAAAGAATGGTGGTGTACGCAGCCGGGTGTTCCAGGAGCCTTTCCTTCAAACCCGACGATGTCTTAATACCCAAACACTCCATGCCATGTATGGTATGTATGCCTACATTGACCCCTGAAACCACCCACAATGTAAATTGTAAATATGCCATACATGGAGTGTCTGGGATATACTCCCGTCTCGGCGCTGGTTACCCGTGCCGTCTCGTCCACGCCTGCAGTCTCGTCTGCAGTCTCGTTGAGGCGTCGTTCATCCAAACGTCTTGCACAGGCGATGCTCGCCAGGGTGTCGCTGAGATATGCGGCGGTGACGACACCACCTGGGTGGTTCGGCTGGTGGAAGCACGGGAGTGTCCTTTGCCCCGTTGGCAATGCATGTGGACTTCATAGTTTGCCTGTTTCTCTCTGAAAATGCCGGCTTTCTACCGCAAACTCCAAAAATACATTGCAACAACTAGATGTTTTAATCACTACCGTGAAGTCTACTGTAACTACTATAGCGACCAAACTACTATACCCACAAACTTCCACAAAAAACATCAACATCCCGCTTAGACCCGCAAATCCACCTACTACTCGCATTACTGATGAGGTCCTGATGAGGTCCGCGTTTCCGGAGTCCAAGTGCGTGGACGTGTGGATCGCAGTATCTTTTTTCACCAAGACGATGAAGAAGACCACACAAAACACAACCCAAACACTCCATGTATACCATATATGCCTACATTGGGGTGGTTTGAGGGGTCAATGTAGGCAAATATTCCATACATGGAGTGTCTGGGCAATATAAAACAACTCAATGTTGCTTCCCCTCTCGAGGACCAGTCCGCACAAGCGCAGACTGAGTCCGCGTTTGAGAACGGCTTTCATGCATGACCGGACTCCGTGAACGTGAGGTCAAAGTGTGCTGAGTTGGGGAGTACAATGAATCTCAACATCTCGGACTCCTTCAGTACGTCGGACTCCGGCTCTGTGCTTCATGGTCGCTCATGGTGAGTTCCCGAAGTGTCCAGCCGTTCGCCTGTTCTGTGGGAGTTATTAATCAACAGTCATAGTCTACCCCTACGGATCCACATGACCTGTGAGGTGGAGATTGGAGGCAATTTTATGTAGGCTTGGGTCTAAGTACCTTCTCAGAAGGTATGTGGATCCTAACAAGATTATATAAACGGCGTCTTATTATACTATTCCCAAACACTCCATGTATGGAATATTTGCCTACATTGACCCCTCAAACCACCCCAATGTAGCATATATATATATATATGGTATACATGGAGTGTTTGGGATTTGATATGGATGTTTCAGGTTGTGCACTCCATGGATGGGAACTGAAGTTCAGGGGTCCGCTGCTACAGCGGAACCGCAGCCAAGAGGCTCCGTGGAAAAGGTTCCCATTTGGAATGGCGGAACACCTCCTCTTTGTAGAACAGGTCTTCCCAAAGGCCATCTTAACCTTACCCCTAGCCTTAAAAAACAAGGACAATTCAAATGGTTGACCTGGTTTTGTAGTGCTATAGAACCCCTAGTAGAGCAGTTGGTTCTTTGAAAACGGCTAGAGACAGCCGGAGTATGGTTGGAAATAGCTGCAGACTTTGCGGCCCTTTTATCCTCAGCGGCACGAGTCTTCGGTGCTTCCACGGCAAAACGCGCGTAGATTCTACGGCGCGGAGACTGCCGTGGCACCGTGGTCAACACTTCCTGAAACAAAAGCACGGGAGTCATCTGCCTTTGCAACGCAAGTTCTTTTCGCGTGCCGCTGCCCGTGTGGACTGCCATGAAAATCCATCTTTGGAAGGGAATCCCTTCCTTTTCGTTTGGGATGCATCCGCCCAAAACCACGTCGGAACAAAAAAAACGCTATCTGCTGCCGACGAGGGCCGGTCGATCTGCCCAAACGGATTCACATTCGCCGCGGACGGTGTACAAGACCTCGTTATTGGGTCCAAGGCGGCCGCGCTCGGCACAGTTGGCCAAGTCGCACACGGCACCGCGACCGCCACCTGCCAGGTCTACTGACTGCATGGGTAGGATAATGTAGAATACCAACTCAGCCTTCATCCTGAAGTTTTAGCCAAAAATCTGCCAACATACAGTCTTGTCTTGCAGCTGACGTCATGCAGCCTTACAAACCCCACCTCCCCAATTCGTCCGCCCCTCGCGTCTCGCGTCTCGGCCTCTGAAGAGACACTTGGTTGCAGCGTGGAGCCGCATGCCCTTCACCACGTCTTCGGAGATGAAACCGCCGCCCTCGCGGGCCAAGGTTTCCAGAAGAAGCTCATCGGCATCGGACTCCCGGGCAAAGTCGTTGAAACCTGAGGAAGACGTGAACAACCGATGAACGCGAGGGAATTGTATGTAGATGAGGGGAACGAGTGGATGATAAACATCCCAAGTAGAATCAAGTAAAGTTTTAAGAATTGTATAATAAGCAAATATATAAAAATATGAAACAACCACCCAGAAGCTGATGTTGAAGTATCCTGGCACCGTCTCTTCCTGGCCGAGGTTTTTCAATTCACAGAGCAACAAAAGCCAACCTGCCTCAACCAAAAGCTTTAGCTGGAACTTCCCAACCGGTTGCATCACATCAGGAAAACAAAATAGCACAGAAAAAACGAACAGTTGTCTATTTGCTTCACTGGCTAGGCGTCCAAGTGCTTGCAAGCCTTTTCAGAAGCTTCTTCCAGGTAACTGAAGTTCCCCACAATGGCAGCTCGGTCCAATGAGTACCAGCCGTTCACAAAGCAGTACAAATCATCCAAGGGAAAACTGTGATCCCGGATTGTGAGCGTCCGATTGTCGAACAACGTCAGGGTGTATGGTGTCGCCTGTGGTCCATTGAGAAAATAGACGTATCCCGTCCAGAACCTGGTCCACGTGGTCATCACGGGAGACAGTCATAGTGTGCCAGACCACACGTGTGATTGAAACCAACCCCAGACACTCCATGTATGCCATAATGCTATACATTGACCCCCAAAACCACCCCAATGTAGGCATATACGGCATACATGGAGTGCCTGAGAACCATGACAGCAAATGCACTGACAAACAAACATCGGAAAATCTGTGCCAGTTCCAAAGCCAAAGACAAATCTAGGAAGTTGCTGAGGTTGTGTGTACGTCGGCTGACGGCACACTCTCGAATCCACCCCCCCAATGCACCATAGACGCACCAGCCATCTTCACCATAGGCTTCTGAAAGTTCCGCAATTGGAGTGGACAAATCCTCCACTCCACGCGTTGACCCAAAAACATCCAAAAACGCGTCCACCGGATGGTTCAGAAAGCCAACCCCGCGGGATCCCGGACCCACATGGCACCTTACAAACCTGAACGTGGGAACTTTGAAACCTTTACAACCCAGTCCCTACAAGTCAAAGACCTCATTGTACTGGAGATGGTCATACCAAAAATCAGTTAAGGGAACCAGGTTTTACATTAGTCTTTGGATGTCTTTGGATGTCTCTGGGAGTGATGTTTTTGCAGGTTTCAGGTGGACCTCTTTTAGGGCAAACCGAGGGAAGTCCACATGAAACGAAGTAATGAAACGACGAGCACGACGAGCCGACGACTCAGAAGCAACGAAAGTGTCGGATCTGTCAGACTGAAAAGTGACCGTGGAAACATCTAGCCAATACCCAAACACGACCCATGGGACTGCCATAGGACTGCCGATCAGGCCAGGGGTGGTGCCAGAGGGCTCAATGGGGCGGCATATATTCCATACATGGAGTGTCTGGGAATATGATCAGGTAGACTCTTGACTAATCCCTTGGGCTGCTGGCCCACCTCCTGAGATGGTTGGAGCCCTAGGGAGGTAGACTCTTGACTAATAACCCCCCACATGAAAAGGATGTCCAATTCCAATGGCGGGGTACGGCGGGGTTGTTCCTCAAGAGTGTGTATTCAATCACGGCTCCAACCACCTCCGTTTCGGTTCGGTGGGACTGGGGTGGGTGCAGTCGGAGGGTCTACAGTAACCCGAACCCGAGGATATGGGCCAGGAGCCCCTAGTAGCTTCTTGTTACTACTAGTAAGGCACTTGCTTCTACTAGCTTCTTGTTCCTACTAGTAAGGCCAGGAGCCCCTAGTAGCTTCTTGTTACTACTAGTAAGGCACTTGCTTCTACTAGCTTCTTGTTCCTACTAGTAAGGCCAGGAGCCCCTAGTAGCTTCTTGTTATAGCTACCCTTGCTCCATCTTTCTCCTATCAAAGCCAGGAACCCAGGTCCAAAGCCTTCGGATCGGACGGACCTGGGAGACCGAGCTGTCCTGCTGGGACAAATGGCCCAGGCAAATGCCTTTCTCCTTGTCGACGGTGATGTTTGCCTCTGCGTCTTCTCGCTCGAAGGGGTAATGCTTGCGGAAGCCGAGTCCTGTTTGCAGGAAGTGGCAGCTTTGGCTGGAAACCACATCCTGCACAAGGCAAGAGAAGGTTTGAGGAACGGCTTTGACGAATACTTGCACGACTGGCAAACCGGAAGTTTCTTGTATACTTCAAACGTGCACAAGTGAAGTTATTCTTCACCTGCTCATCATCTTCTCCAAATGACACAAACATCAAGCTTGGCACGTCTTTCAGGAGAACACGGTACAGCAGACAAAACAAAATCACCTGATCCGCGAATCCAGGGTCAGTTCATGTTACCACGGGGTGCCGGACCTGAAGGAGAAGGGTGCCCCTGTCACAACCACAGCCCCTGGATGGGACCAAAAACCACCCCGTCGAAGGTGACTCCTGGTCAAATAACACCAGTTAATTAGTTAATGTTAGTCGTCCCAAACACTCCATGTATGTCATGTATGCCGCCCCATTGACCCCTCAATATGCCAGTCCCATGGGGTGTTTGGGAGTTATACTTTATTGGCGCCGCATCGCTTCACTGCTCCCTGTAAGGTCGCAAGATCGCATCAGGTCGCGCCCACAAAGAGGAAGGGGTTAGTAGCGAATAGCGTCCTTGTTCCTGTAGTAGTCATGCCCCAACAATACCGAGAATGTATGCATGTGATATAGACTCCTCATACTACTGGAGTATAAAACTCCACCCGTCGTTTTCCCTTGAGGGCATCAATCACTGAGAATCACCCAACAAAGTGCCACCATTGTGTGGACATGCATCATCATGTATCAATATTCTACTTGAGGCCAGGGGGAGAGGTCGAAAGCTAGCCGAATCGCACCGGATGTACTAGTTACATAGTCGGCAAAGCATGTAGGGATTACATGTTTTGGGAGGAAGGTTGCTATGTACATACTTTGCGCTAAAGAATGTAAATGTGACATCGCTGATTGGGAAGGGTACATTGGAACAACC